ATTGGCGTTCACGAACACGTTTTATCAAGGACCAGATGAATCTGTACTAGATGATGTGAGGTGAGGTGAGGTGAAATTGGGTTTAACATCGCGGCCAAGATTATTCCACTTATATAGCGACGTGCATGTACGTGTGTGTGTTTGTGTGGCTGCTTGTACTAGTCCGGACTGATGCCGATTTATAGTGCTAGCTCACTGAGATACCATGCCGCAGTTTAACATGAATACCCCACTCACACACAGTATACTGACTCCGAGCCGACCAGTCCTTGTTTTAGCCCCTTAATGCCGAGCGCCAGACAGGGTAACAACAAGTACCATCTTTTAACGTCTTTTGGTATGACGCGGCTGGGGATCGAACCCCGGATCTTCTGCTCTCTGGGCGGACGCTCTACCACAAGACAACGGAGGCAGTCAGATGATGTGAGGTGAGGGGTGGGAGGTTTCAGGAGGCCAATAAAGATTTTGATTCCTAGCTGTGTTGGGACCAAGCACACAGGTTTATTCAAAAATGTTCAGCCATGGAGCCCTGTATCTAGTATTGTGCTTTACAAATTTCATGAATCCTTTTGATCGAAAATGGCCAGTATCAGTGTTTAAAATACCCACCCTTACAGTCAGAGATGGTCTATTTTGATGACGGCCAGTCAGTTGTGACAAGTTGCACTCCCAAAAATCAGGCGTTAAAGTTACTAATACACCGTTCACATGCGCCTCTTTACATGTGTGTATATGTGCATACGTGTGTAGAAATACATACGTGAGTATGCTTGGCATGTGAACGTGTTTACTCGTGTGTATATTTACATATGTAGCAATGTGAACGTTTATGTTAACGTAAGAGGATGATCTAACTAATATCTGTCCAACACCAAACAAAGTGTCAACAGTTGCCAACTTTTATGCGTATATACAGAGTAGAGCGGACTGTGTTTTCTTTTGGTTTCAAGGAGTCAAAACTTTTTGTACAAATTAAATCAAACGCATGTTGCTTCACAAGAAAATTTTCGGTGAAGTAACTTTCTTCTCATTCAACTTTGATTGGAAAACAACCTGTTTTGTGTTGAAAGTCGTGAACTGACCGACGAATATGTGCGCCTTACACAATTTACATACCTTATTTACACACCTATGTGAACGCATTGTAAATTTTCAGATACACACGTATGCACAGTTACACATGTGCAAAATTACTTACGTTAGTAAATGTTGTGCATGTGAACAGGGTATAAGTTGACAATCCACCAGCGTATTGTTGTTTTCTGAGCACTAGTGAGTAAGTGAGTGAGTATGGTTTTATGCCGCTTTTAGCAATATTCCAGCAATATCACGGCAGGGGACACCAGAAATGGGCTTCACACATTGTACCCATGTCGGGAATCGAACCCGAGTCTTCGGCGTGACGAGCGAACGCTTTAACCACTAGGCTACCCGACCGCCCCTTTCTGAGCACTAACATCAAACAGTACTATCTTATGTTTACCCTGTTGTTACTTTTGTTCCTTTGTCAAGAAAATTGTGGACTGGCATCATTACATCTGGTCTGGTTACTTTGCAAAGGATTTGGGGGAATTGTACCAATGCCAGTAAACTTGAGTGAGTACGGTTTTACGCCGCTTTTAGCAATATTCCAGCAATATCACGGCGGGGGGACACCAGAAATGGGCTTCACACATTGTACCTATGTCGGGAATTGAACCTGGGTCTTCGGCGTGACGAGCGAACGCTTTAACCACTAGGCTACCCGACCGCCCCTCAGTAAACTTGAAAGAATGCACAACAAAATGGTGTATGTCCGTGTTACACATTCTCTGTGTTGACCTGGTGTTATTGATGTTGATGTGATGCATGACTCACTGCCTCCTCATGATAAAGCAGCACTCAGCATCAGTAGCTTTATCGAGTTTGTAGATACACAGCTTGCATGCTGTAATTTATCCATTTATCATGGTGATAGGAATATTTAATTGTTCCACATGTGGCATTTCATATCTAAATGGTGTAATGATTTGCATAAAGGTGAATAATGTCTCGGCACAAATAATAAACGTCTTTGGAACTTTAGAAAATAATGTAAATAGGCCTTGGTCCCCTGTTGTCTCATTATCTTCTCCTCAGGACCAAGAACAGAGGTCCCACCCAACAACAAAGTTGTCAGACCGCCTCTGTGGTCTAGTGGTGGAGCGTCCGCCCAGAGAGGTGAAGGTCAGAGGTTCGATCCCCAGTCGTGTCATACCAATAGACGTTAAAAGATGGTACTTCTTGTTACCCTGTCTGGCGCTCGGCATTAAGGGGCTAAAACAAGGACTGGTCGGCTCAGAGTCGGTAAACTGTGTGTGAGTGGGGTATTCATGTTAAACTGCAGCATCGTATCTCAGTGGGCTAGCACTATAAATCGGCATCAGTCCGGACTATTACAAGCAGCCACACACACACACACACACACACACACACACACACACACACACACACGTGCATGCATGTCGCTACATAAGTGCAATCATCTTGGATGCGACGTTACACCTCATTTCACCTCACCATAAAGCTGTCACAGGGAGGTCAAGGGAGGGCATGCTTTCCCATATGTGTGGGTATGGACGTTTGCATTTATAAGTGATACTTGGTGGCATCTGAGGGTTTTCATGAAAATAGTTTTTATAAAGATTTCATCATTCTTTTTAAGGACAGTCATAATTTTATCATAAACACATTTCATGAAAAGTTTGCAGAACCATAATTATTAAATAATTCATGAAGTGTCAGAAATGAAGTTAAAACCAGCAATTCATCAAGTCAGTTTGGCAATCTTTAAACAGGAGCCATATTCTCAGGATTCATGAAATCACCTCTAGTTTTCACATTCCTCCACTCTGTGAGGGACTCGATAAAGTCAATCTTTGTAGGTTCTGTGAGCTGATGCATGCTCACAGTCCGCTGTGAACAGGATGAGTGAGAGCCCACATGGACAAGTGATTCAAGTCAGGAAATTCCTCCTGGGTGTAAATTCTTCTACTACCCAGTGAGTAACACATAGTCTATGAAATCTTTCATTACACAATACATTTCTCTCCTCAATTATAGCAAATAATTTTCCTGATGCTTTGTTTTCATCAAATACACATATTCCACAGTCATGGTGCAGGACTACCCAGTGGAAATTTATAAAAACATCTTGTCCTTAGCATCATCAGAATAAAAACCAGTGGTTGCAACTCAGCTATTTCCTTTGAATTTCTTGGCTACAGTATGACCAGATTCATCATTAGATTTTAAAAATGAACATGATTTTCCCATTTGATACCGGTAACTTTCTTTGGGCAAGTTTGAGCTATTTCCTTAGCTATATAACATAGAGAAAACAACACTCGAGTGCTTTTGACTCTTCTGGACTGTAAAGAGCAGATAACTGAAGCTACTTCTCATGTCAACACTCAGTGACATGACCCCAATCTAAATAAGCAACCCAGCACAATTAATGAAGTTTGAAGGCCCTGATTATAACATGTATTGCGTCATCTGCGATTCAGGACGTGTTGCTTATGTGAATGCACCACTTTGTATTTCAGTGTACGTATGGTGCACCACTTCATATTTTAGTATGTGTATGGCACAAAGTTGCATCCAGAAGTGATGCCTGGGCTTCAGATTGTGACACCTGTGCTGTCTACATGATCTAGTCAGTCTGTGGCCAGTTAAAAATAATAATGTTTGTTTTGTTTGTTTGTTTGTTGTTTAACACTGCACTCCGCAATATTCCAGCTATATGACAGCGTTCTAAATAATCGAGTCTGGACCAGACAATCCACTGACTGACATCATGAGCATCGATCTATGCAATTGGGATACAATGACATGCATCAAACAGCCTGACCACCCAATCCTGTGAGGTCGCCTCTTACGACAAGCATAGTCGCCATCTACGACAAGCATGGGTTGCAGAACACCTATTCTACCCTGGATCTTCACCAGTCAAAATTGACAATGACGTGTCAAATTCTTGGATATATCCAGTTAATCCGACAGGATTTTTATTACATGCCACTGATATTAGTCTATTCAAATGACTTTTCATCTACTAGTAACATTGCTAAGACAGCACAGTACCGGTACTACATGGGTAAAGCGTGATACTAACAGGATCGGATGGTTAGGCTTCCTGACTTTGTTTGATGCATGTCTTTGTATCCCAATTGCGTAGATTGATTCTCATGATGTCAATCACTGGATTGTGTGGTCCAGACTCAATTATTGATTGACTGCTGTTACATTGCTGGAATATTTCTGGGTGTGGCATTAAACAACAAATAAGCATAACTGACGCATCCAATACTCTATTTTTAGAACACAACAATGTTGGGATTTCCCTATTCATACACCACATCATGACTCCAGCTCAAACCGGCAACAACCAGGTATCTGGGTCTCCATTTCACAGATATGTAGGGCCACAGATATTTAGATAACCAACAGAGGTACAATATTCCACAGAACAAAGTCTCCCTTTAAAATGTTACAAAGTTTGTAAACTGGTGTAAACATTGTTAAAATACTGAACAGTATTGATTTTTAACTACTTTGACATTTTTCAGAATAACAGTCATTTTCCTGTTATTCAGCCGTGAATACATCAATAATCAGACCATGTAGCACTTTGAGTGACGTGAAATATAGAATTTATAACACAGATTCACTTGAAATGGTACGATGTTGGACTATGTCGTTCAAATTGAACATGCAGTTATTACACGCCGAACAGAGACAGCTTCACAGAGGTAACTGTAGCCTAAATATACATGGCTTCATTGTGGACATGTCGTGTAGTATATAACTCAAGCTAGTTATTGCACGAGTGGAAACAGTCGAGTCGGCTGTGGTTGAACCTGGCTATCAATGAACTCGGGAGGGCATCCTTCACCTTCTTAGCACCAATCTAGCGTGAAAAGTCATACTAGAATGTGTGTTTATCTATACTATGTGGCAAGTCTATAACGGCTACTTACAGAAAGCGACAAATGCTATCCCAGGACGCGCGATGTTTCGTTAGAATGGCTCCAGCTAGGTCATGTGACCAATCGGCCATGAACAGTTGCTGATAAAGTACGACTACTTTATGACTCAGATTGTACACAAAGGGGAATAAGTGGTGTCGGGAATTTGGTGTCTAGGAAAGTTATTCAGAACAGTGACAACCACTTTAAATATGTTCGCGCGAGCAGTTGCTAGATGCGTTACAAGTATACGATAGATATATGCTATTTTCGTTTTGTTATGATAATGATTCTAAAGAATTACTAGTATATATATCTATGTCCATATACTGTCTTTTAATGAATCTATGATATGACTGATAATATTTCCATATACATGTATTTCTGTCTTCTCCTCTCAATCAATATACAGTAAAGTACGGTTATACCGAACTCAAAGGGACTACTAATTTTAGTTCGTTATAACCGTAGTTCGTTATAAGCATATATACAGCATAACTACAGCAAATAGTCGGGACCAAAAAAATGAGTTCGTTATATCCGTCAGTTCGTTATAAGCGTGTTCGTTATAATCGTAGTTTACTGTATAATAAAGTATCTTAAGACACAAAACAACAAACAGAAGAAACTGAAATTGTCGATTGATGAAGTGAAATACAAGAATTGTGAGAAAAGTTCTCTTTTGAAGTACTGGCATATTCTTCAGCGTCCGACCGTCTGCTCCAGACTCCACAGTGCGGCGTTAAACAATATACACATACTTCTAGCTCTACCATAAGAACGGTGAAAGAAGTGTATTTCAGTTTATCATGTGATTTTTTTCTGAATGAACTTACGACCCAATTTATTAACCTGAGGACGAAAACAGAAGCACGAGCGCATTAAAGCACGTTGCTTATACCAGGTCATTGTATTGTATGTCAATGTTTTAGTTAGTCATGTTCATGTTTTGTACCCTGCTCCCTGTGGGTGTTTTGTACAATAAATATTCTTCTTCTTCTATTGGAAAGTATTTGTGGGGTGCTTCAATTAATTTGTTCATCGATGAAACCTGATTTGTACATTTTGAGTGACCATGTCATATCGTACCGACGACACCGGATCATCGATGATATGTAAACTCTGGAATATATTTATGTAACACTGACACTTTGTCCAATGGCTACAGCTGTTATAGTTGCTTTGATTAAAGATGGGACTGTTGTCCTTTTTGTCAAATAACATGTTTAGTTCATTGTCAGACCTGGAAGGTTGATATTTTCATGAGCGACGAGTTGGCAGGTCACTAAATGATATAAACATGATCTTTGACAAGAAAAGAACGTATGTTCTATTTATAATGTATCACTCCAGCTTGACAACGGTGTAAGAATCTTCATCGAAATGTCGCAACATGCAATAAAACAGAGATTGTGATCCATAAAGCTGTAGGGGCGGTCGGGTAGCCTAGTGGTTAAAGCGTTCGCTCGTCACGCCGAAGACCCGGGTTCGAATCCCGACATGGGTACAATGTGTGAAGCCCACTTCTGGTGTCCCCCGCCGTGATATTGCTGGAATATTGCTAAAAGCGGCGTAAAACCAAACTCACTCACTCATTCATAAAGCTGTATGTTTTCTTATTGACTCGACAACTTCTAAAAAACCAGTCAACCAGTTATTAAGTATTTTCTTGCTTGGTGCATTTTGATTTTGCTATCAAATTCTTAGTGTCGTTGAGGTAGACTGAAAGTAGTTCCGGCATGAAGTGTTATTTCACTGAATGAGATATGTATTCTATATTTGGAGATAGATACAGTATTTCGTCACTAAACACATACTATAAGAGTGATGTATGGTCCCCAAACCATGAAGTCAGGTAATGCTATTCCATATAGCTCCGGTTGTTTATGTAAATGAAATATACGCGTGTATGTGCAGAACCTCTGGGTGTCTGCACCATAAAAGCCACATTTGTCTCTGATCGCCGCTGTAACATTCTTGCTGTCTCAAAAAGTGAGTGAGTGAGTATGGTATTACGTCGCTTTTTTTTAGCAATATTCCAGCAATATCACGACGGGGGACACCAGAAATGGGCTTCACACATTGTACCCATGTCGGGAATCGAACCCGGGTCTTCGGCGTGACGAGCGAACGCTTTAACCACTAGGCTACCCGACCGCCCCTGTCTCAGAAAGACTTGGCCAACACTGTTTTTCATAAAATACTTCCCTGTCTGGAAGAGAACGTATGTTCTTTTCAGTATTCATAGAACACTGCTCGACTCTGGAGATGACATTCTTCCCTAGTGACAGAACCTTATTGTTTTACCATTAATACCAAGCACAGAAGCCTGTATACTCAGCTGTTATTTGTACCCAGACTGAATGAGGTAACCTATTTATACCCGAAATATGTTCTCTAACTTTTTATATTTAGGGCTACGGTTACTATATATGTTAAAAGTGTAAGGCATATTTATCATGAAAAGTTGCCGAGGTAGCGGGTCTCCTGTCTCTAAACGGCTTTCCCCATTCATCAATCCATCTATTATTTGTTGCTTGTTTGTCGTAGTCAGCAATACTCCAGTTGTATAACGGCGGCCTGTAAATAATGCCATCCTGGGCCAATGAGTGGAGGGAGGAACTACCGAAGTGATGCAGTCCTCAGCAGTGCCGCAGCCAGCCGGGGGAGTGGGTGGGGGGGGGGGGGGGGGGGGGGGGCAGTTTTATTTGAATCAAGTTGGGGTCAAGTGATACTTGTACAAATATTTGCCTCCCCTGTCAGAAAAAGCTAACTACGGCCTTGCTCAGACGTTTACTGTGGCAGTGTAACCCACCAGCAGGGCTATGATGCTGACTCGCCGGTCTCCCAGACCCTGGAGAATAAATTGAAAAAGGAGACCAAATCCAGTCTAGATAGCCTCAGCTCTGAAATTGAACATTGTTCTGGACTCCATTTGGATTTTATTGTTTTTATTTTATAGATATATATTTATTTGAAAATAAAACAGCTATATTTCTGGGACAAAGTGTTAGTCTATACATGCAGACATAATCAGGGCAAAATGGGATGAGAAACACGATCACAAGTTCCTCGCACGCCCGAGGGACTCAACTCTGCACATCGATTTCCTGGGCCCTAGACGACTTGGTCATCAGACAAATTGGTTCTGGGTGTTATGGTCAACCACAGGAACAGTGATCTCGCATTTCTAAGGCATATTTCAAACAATAATACTATCAACATTTGTTCAAGAAGTCCCGAATGACCATGGCACAGACGAACAGTGTTGGAAAATTACGTACTTATATATGTGTATTATGAAACGGTTAAACAGTTACGGTCTGTTATTTGCCATAGTTTGAGTATTGACGTCTCTTTGTACTGTGACACGTTTCTAACAATCTCTCAAACGGTTTGCTTCAGTCACAGACTTATCGCATCGAAAAGATTTAATATACAAACGGGGAAAAGGTAACTGATTCATATACAGTTCAATAAAAATACATGTATTCTGAAATTAAATAATGCATAATTCAAAACATGTTCAAAAAGACATCTCGTCTTTAAGGTCGTATTTCACAATATGCTCGTGCATGTTCATGCACGGCGCACAATTTGCATGTTTGCTGGGAACATGACACTCACACACGTGCTTTGTGTATGTGAACAGCACACATTTTTGTTTAGCTATCAGGTGCTCAAAAAACCTTCTTTGTTTAACCGTAAATATAGCTGACGCAATGCCACGTACGGCTTGCTGAAGATCAACGTCTATACAAGCCGGGCCAGGAATGGCGCAAAACGAAGTTGCCAGACATTTTAATGTGCATCAAAACACAATATCATCACTTTGAAGACAATATCTACAGCAGCTAGGGCAACACTCATAAATGGCCACGGGTCGGTCGTCCACGTGTGACGTAACGTCAGCAAGACAACCGTATTCGGTTGGTGCATCTACGGAATCGATACCAAACGTAACTGCCACATTGATATCTCGGACAATTCCTGGGTTCAGACAAATTAGTGGCAGAGGCGCAACCGGTTGAGGGCGCACTATAATCGACCCCGACGTCCAGCGACACGTTCAATTTTGCTTCCATGTCTAGCTTGATGTAGACAGCATCATGCAGAAGACAAGACAGGGACAACAAACTGTTCACAGATGAGTCCGGGTTTCATCTGGACAGCTATGATGGTCATACAATGGTCCACTTGTCCTGGAGAACGTTTTAGCGACGTCAACGTCGTCAGTTTGGGGTGGAAGTGTAATGGCATGGGGTGGCATCCCAACTGATGGGAGAACACAACTCATCATTGTATAATCAGGTTTCGACCCGTGCTTTGGCATCTGATTATACCTTAAAAAGAAGAAGAGGAACGATACAGTCAGTGAGATTATACAAAGAATAAGACTCCCTGATACAATCAAGCAGTTTACTTTCTGTGGGTGTACCAGATGTTTTTGCTGCAGCATAACAATGTTGTACTGCCATGACCAGCTTTTTTCTTAAGACCTGTCCCCCATAGAGTATGTCTTGGAAAAGATTGAGCGACGCCTACGACAGGACCAGAATAAGCCGGTACAGTATAATATAGTATATAAGGATCCGTTCAATATCAACATTTATATGAAAGTTAATGATCATTCAGATAAATGTGTATGTACATCATTCTGTATGAGTGAGTGAGTGAGTTGGGTTTAACGCCGCTTTTAACAGTATTACAGTTATATCGTGGCGTGTCAGCTTAATGTGGGAGGAAAGCCCCAAGTGATGCAGGTCTCAGACGTTTACCACTTCGGTGAAACCCACGAGCACGGGTATGGTGCTGTCAAACCTAGGAAAATAATCGGGGCGAACCGGGATTCGAACCCACAATCATAGGTTTCTGGGCATTCTGTATGAAGGTGAACGTTCATGTAGCAGTAGAGAGTATTCGTACAAGTAGCAACCCTCGCTTGTCGTAAAAAGCGACTAACGGGATCGGATGGTCAGGGCTCGCTGACTTGGCTGATGCATGTCATCGTATCTCAATTGCGTGGATCGATGCTCATGATGTCAATCACTGGATTGTCTGGTCCAGGCTCGATTATTTAAAGACCGCCGTCATATAGCTGGACTATTGCTGAGTGCGGCGTTAAACAACAAACAAAC